GAAAGATGGGGACAAACTTTTTAGCAGGGCCTGTTGCGATGGGACAAGGGGGAATGGCTTTAAACTCAAGGGGGGTAGATTTAAACTAGATATAAGGAAGGAATTTTTTACCCTAAGGGTGGTGAAACACTGGCCCAGGTTGCCCAGAGAGGTGGTGGATGCCCCATCCCTGGAAACATTCAAGGTCAGGTTGGCCGGGGCTCTGAGCAACCTGCTCTAGTTGAAGATGTCCCTGCCCACGGCAGGGGGGTTGGACTAGATGACCTTTGGAGGTCCCTTCCAACCCAAACTATTCTATGATTCTATATATGAAATTGAATTTCTCAATCACCTTTCAGGGATTCCTTGGAAGTTTTCCACAGAAACCCTCCCTCTCTCCCCTTTTACATCATAGTCCATAAGTTGAAACCCAGCATTCTAAAAATACTTTCTCTCCTGGTTAGGTCTTTCAATTTTCTCCTCACAGTTTCTACAGGGGCTTTCTTGAAAGGGGAATACAGAAGTGCTATTTGATGATGGTTATATTCTGTCCTACTATTTCATCTGACCTTCATTTACTGTATCTTACATAAAACAAAAAACCTCATTTGAAGAGGAGGATACACTGTTAAACATACTAAATAAACTGTATCTTTCATATTTTTACCCTGAAGCTACTACCATCTGGAAGTAGTTAGCACAGGAAAACAATAAAAAAGCCCATCTAAGTTCACAAGACTTGTTGCCTGCAGTACTTGAGCAAGAAGATTAGTGTCCCCATTCATTCATTTATTTATTCTACCCACACACAATGTTAAGTAATTTTAAAATCCAAACAGTTTGGAAAGCTCCTGCTGTTGCTTGTGTGCTAAAGCCCAAGCTGAGGTTATCATGTTTGCCTTGCAGCAACAAATGACAATTTGCACTCCATAAAGCATTGTGCACAGTTTATAGATGGCTGTAGGATGTCAGCTGTGGCAAGAAAAGTATAGACAGCTGAATCTCTAGTCTTAGCAGGCACAGAAAAAGATTTCTTTCTACCTACTTGAAATTCAAATACATTGGTAAACCTTCCCCCTCCTCCCCCAACCCAAGAGCCTATGGGTGATTTTTTTTAATTGCTACTGTGTTCTTCTCCAGTTGCCCTTATGAGCATTGAGAGTGCACACAGCCCACAGCGTATGCCTCAGGAGTGAAGTTTGCTCGGGTCTTTTGAAAACAAGAAAACTATCCTGTTCCCAGAGCAGTCGCTGTGCAGGCATACATTACAGACATGAATGGCACGTTTTGTTAAAATATCATTTTTGTGCAGCAAGGTTGCAGCCTCGGATTTTAGCTGCTTTTGTATTTCCCTTTTAATAACTCCAGCAGTATCTGTGGTTATTAACATTAGAACTGTAGACCTTGGTGAAGTCATAAAAAACAGAGCTTAATGTTTTTTTCTGTATGGTTCCACTTGGCTATATTAAAGTCACAACTCCCCCAGTACTCTTTTTTTTTATTATCATGTAAAATAAAAAAGAGACCTCAACAGCAAGGGCAATTTCAGCCTTCATCCCACACTTACGTTCAGTGTCCTTTCAGTTTGATTGGTTTTATATTTGAAGATGGGACACCGCGCTTGATCTTACAAAGGGCTGAGTGCTGTGGACCCAATCTAAGAAGTTACTTCAGCAGAGCATGTACACACGTAAGTGCTTTGAAGCCAGAGCACCTTCCAGGATTTAGCTGGTAGCCTATGGCAGAAAAAGAAGTATCCTCAGAATGTTTCCCTTTCTCCGGTGGATATTTTGGATGTTAAAGAACACAAGTTCATATTGTAATTCAGAAATGAAGACACTTCTACAGACAAGTGGCACCTCTGCCTTCCCTTTTTACATTTGGGGGTACATTGGAAAGAAATATAAAATTTACTTACCGCAGCGTGGTGTTCTTTATTGCAATAAATACGTACCTGTCTCTGATCAATAGGTATTTGCTCAAACAAATATTAGCTCTTCAAACAGCAGCTGCATTGGAAGCAGCTGCAGTTATCTCAGTTGCTTGTGTCAGTCAAAGCAAAGTTTTTCTGTTTGCTTCTTTTCTAATCCTTGCTCCTCGCACTTCAAGAGACAATAGGTTGAATCCAAAGCTTCTAATCACACCAAAGCAACTCCACCAGCAGGATAACTGATTTATTTGGGCATCTAACTCCTAGTTTATTATTTTAAGACTTTTCAAAAACTGTCTTTGATGGTTGATCCTATCTGCTTTAACACCTGGTAGAAGGGCAAGTCTATTACTATTACCCAACAATGAAGCTTTCCCAACTCACAGGGCTTCTC